TAAGAAAATGAAATTTTCTTAATACCACACATGCCAGGGCTTGATTCCCATCACCTAACACTTTCTGTGCTTTTTCTAATATTTTTACCTAGTCCATCATTTAACAGTTCTAAAAATAAAACTATTTTTAAAAGTTTCACTAGGAAACTTTATATAAGGTTATCCTTGCTATCCTCAAATCACCCTACAGACCCACCCTCAATAGAGAGGGCATGGACTTTGAATTGTGTGTTTAGTAGCAGAAATAGGTTTGATTCAATCCAGCCACTTTTTCTGTCCAATCACTGTTTGAGAAAGAATGAGATAGAGACTTTAATCTGTATGCAGGAAACATAATGGAACTAACTAGTTGAATCAAAGAAGTCTCAAATCTGTTACCACATAGCTTAGTCCCCTAAACAACTGAGCTAATTCACAAGTTCATAGACTATATAAAGAACTAAAAAATTTTTTTAAAAGTAAAACTGAAATATTAAAAATATGTCATTTCTTCAATTAAAGTCCCTTTCTAGATTGTTTCTCTTGATGAAAATGTATGGAACAAAACCTAAGGGTTTTTTTTTTTAGGAAAATGGATAACCAAAAAATGCTGGTCAGTCTGATCATGGTCTTCTCTATCCTGAAGCATTGGTTTTAGGGCCCATTCAGTAAGACTGAGAGTTTCCATAGAAAGGCTCCCACAAAGGGGCAGCCAAGTGGCACAGTGGATATAGCACCTTCCCTGGAGTCAGGATGGACCTGAGTTCAAATCCAGCTTCAGACACTTACTAGCTATGTGATCTTGGGCAAGTCACTTAACCCTGATTGCCTTCACAAGAAAGAAAGGGCTACATATTTAACTTGGACTCTAGTGATAGACCTCTAGGATGATCCTCATTGATTGATGAATGGTGTAGTGAATTGGTTATCCTACATTTCTGAAACATTAAATCAAAGTGTATCTTTTTTACACTGAGACCCTCTCCTTGTTCAAGATTCCTGTATATGTTATATGAAATTTTTGGGGGATAAAGAGTTATGTCAGAAGACATGAGGTAGAATTCCAGTTTGGGTGCCTCTATTTTCAATCTGGAAATGATTTGGATATAGATTAACATTAAGCAACCTTTTCTCCCCTTGGAAGACTGGAGCCTAAAAATGCCAAATACAGTACTTGCATTAATATTTTTCTTTGATATCATCAGACCCAAATAATTCACTATTATACCCAAATCTCATTTTCAATTACCCATCTGTACTCGTCTCTGCTACACATAATCATTCTTACCCTCATCTTTCTCCCAGATTTGATGTTTTACCTACTCTGCTTTGGTTGACATCTTGTTAAATGAAAGGAAACTTGATTGGTGATCTAGTTAAATTAGGAACCTAAAGAAGAACACCTGCAAATAGAGACAGAATAGATTACCTTGTAAAACTTTGCAAGGTGGAAGGCTAAATAAATGGTTCTTTTCTTATATCCCAAGCATACCCCCAAAAAACTTTTGTTGTCAAGAGTTTGATTGGGAAGTTTAATAATAGGCATTAGTACTGTAAGCATCAGGACCAACCCCTTCGATTTTGTTCTCCTAGTCTTTAATCTTCTATCCAGCTGCTGCAAGCATCTGGCACAATATAGGGAAATATAAAGACAATACAGGCAGACATTAATAACCATAACAACAGTAACTGTTTTGTGTTCACTTGAATGATTACCTTTTCTTTAAAATGAACCATGTCAATAATTATGATGATATTTTTATTCAGTGGCAGAAACAAAAATATTTCCATATTTATGAGTATAAAGATGACAACCTTGGCGTATCCAGGTGACTGCTGGGGAGCAAGAACATATGTGTGTATGTTGGGAGAAGTAAAAGATATTAAGTGATTTGTGCAAAATAGAGAAAATGAGATATGGGGCTATTTGAAAAAGCATACTTGCTTCAAAAATATGTATGACATACAAGCACCAGCATCTTCAATGATTATAACTTAATGATATTAATAATGATGATTATAATTATAGACCCTGCCTACCTCACCCTCTAACTAGCTCAATTCATCCGTTCCCCAGCTGTAATATCCTGTCCAAGGCTCAAACCACGCTAGGGCATTTGGGAGCTGTTTCTTTGGGTACAGAAGAACTCCGGGTGGGAGTTCCCTTTCCCCTACTGCTAGTTAATGTACACGTTAATCAGGACATAACTATCTACAAGTAGATCTTTCAAAACGTTGATTTGCTGCTCTTCCCTCAGAAGAAAACATAGATTAGGTTCTGTTCATTTTGGAGGTTTCTGTGCCCACTTTTCTGCTGGCTAGCAGCTCACTTAAACTTATTAACTACCTCACTCTTCAACTCCTGCCTAAGTGACACATCGCCCACTCCTCCCAAGATATCTCCCCCGGCCCCAGTTCCGCAGCCTAGCAGCGACTGAACTGTGGTTTCGGAACCGCAGCAAGTGAGTGACAAAACCAGTGGCTGGCTCCCCTAGCAGGAGTCCCTTACGGACTAACAGAATTAGGTAGACTAGGTGTCCCCACCGCTCCACCCTCCTCACCCAGTTCTTGCAAAGAAGAGAACGCCTCTTCCCTCACCCCACCAGCCCACCCCCACGGCCTCCCCCGCTCCTTTCTGCACTGAAAAGGTGTGGAAAGAGCAGAGCGGCGCTCTTGTTCTGTTTCCAGCTGCGTTTACAAGCTGGAGCAGGCACGTGCTCCGGGCGCTGGCCAAAGCGAACCCTGCTGCCTCCACCGCTTTCACCATCCCCATTGCAGCCACTGCCTCCGCTGCCTCTAGCGCTCCAGCTGCCACCGCTGCCGTTGCCGCCGACGCCACAGCGACTCCCGCTGCTGCTGCTGCAGGGGCAAGGAGAGCCTGGAAGGTGCTGGAGGCGCTGAGATTGGATGTGCCGGCCAGCAGCAGCTGGGCCGAGAAATTACGAGTGCAGGTGTCAACGCACCTGGTAAGCCCACCTTTTTTCTCTTCCTTTCTCCAAGCTCGTCATTTATTAGTATATTTCTAATGCGCAGGGAATTCCCCTTCCCCCAATCTGGGAGTGAAGGGAGTGGGTGAATGAGGGCGTGTGTGTGTGTGTGTGTGTGTGTGTGTGTGTGTGTGTGTGTGTGTGTGTGTGTGGTGTGGTGTGACAGCATAGAGGAGAAGGAGAGAGGGGGTGGCCTGGGCTGATGAGCATGAGTCTTTTGCAGACACAAGCACGGTGAGGTCCGTTAAGTTTGGGAAAGTCACCCTGGAAGGACGGGTGTTGCCTGAATAGGAAATTGATTCCGAATTAGTCTCTAGTGGGTACATACAGTAGCACCGTCCCTCCAATGGGAGATAAATGAAGATCGTTTTTATTTTACTTGCATCATTGAGGGATTTAAGTAGTCTCGTTTCCATAGAAAACGAACTAAAAAAATAAAATAAAATGAAAGGAGAAACCCGCCTATCGAGATAAAGAAGGCATTGAGAGCTAGTGTATCTTCTTCTCTGTGCATACCGATGCATATGCACCACACCGGCAGTGCTGGAATGAATGGTGTGTCTTTTTTGAGAGGATTAGGTCGTTGCCAATCTGATACATGGACTGATATTTCTCACTCTAGTGAATTCACGGTTGAAACAGGCTTTGAATATTATAGAGTCTGAACCTTCTTTCTGGAGCCCTTTGATAAGAGGGGGGGTGGGAGGGGTTTGCGTTTCTTTCTTTTTTTACGTTTTGCTGCTTGGTAAACTGATTTCTCTGGGACCGACGATCTGGAACCTGTGAGCTTTCGTCCTTTAGTCTCTGTTTTGATGCTAAAAACGCATCAAGACTAGGGCTCCTTGATTTAACTTCTCCAGAATGATGATTCAGCCAACTTCAACTTGGTGACAGGGTGCACCGCGAGACAAAGACAGAGCCCGAGAAAGGGTTCCTTGCAGTTGGATTCTGAGGTATCCTGTGGAGTGGTGTTTCCGGATATCTCAGGGCAAAATCTAAAAGCCAAGGTGTTTTGAGTGCTTGGTGTGCTTGGGGCCACAGGTGGGTGGGGGAGGTTGAAAAGAATGGGTTAGATTTAAGGAGCTTGGGGCAAGCAGAGGGTTCAGTCTTGATCTCAAGGACACCTCGAGACACTAGAGGTACATAGAGTGAAATGTATCAAAATGATTTCGGGATAGAGGTTGTTCAAAAGCAGACATCTTTCTTTATTTTGTGTGTGTGTGGGGGAGGGGTTGAAGTTGAATCAATGCTAGGTCTACTAGGGTCGAATTGGATTAGGTGACCTCTGAGGCCCCTTGACATTGAAATTTTCTCTCTTTTGGCGGTGGCAATCAGAGGTGAGCATTTTCAGGATGAGAAATAGTCTAGTGTTTTGTTTCCGTCCCAGTGTTTTGGTGTGTTGTGGGATAATAGGGGTTGGGGGGAGGCAGAGAATGTTGAAGGAGTGAGCTTGGAGACTGGAGCTGCTTGGTAGAGGGTAAGATTGCAGGGAGAGAAAGATATATTTCACTTTAAAGCAATTCATGACAAACCTGGGCAGTAGAGGCTAGAAGCAGAGGCTCCCGTGAGGGGTTGCTAGCCTAGGCACTTCCTTTCTTATCCTTGGTTGTCAGCACCGGTCACCAGCTGTCTGAAGGGGAAAAAAAGCCAGCGGCAACAGAATTTTTTTTTTTTTTTTTTTTTTTTTTTTTTTTTTTTTGCGCAGGGAGAAACCGTCTCAAGGCAGTCCCACTTGTGGGCCCTATTCGTGAGAGGAAAGCAGGACAATGACTCCCATGTTCCTGAATCTATAGGGACTACTAGGAAACACCTGATTCAGGGCTCTTCTCAGTTTCGATAAATGAGCATCTGCCTGGATGTATGAGCGTGTTCCACGGTTGGACTTGATATTCGGGTTCCTAAAGGGACTCAGTGTGCCACTTGGTGGCACCAAAAAATTGCGTTGAAGAACTCTGTTCTCTATAAATACAAACTGCCTCCCCTCCCTTGTTCTCTCTTCTCCCCTCCCCCTCCCTTTTCCTGCCTCTCTCTTTCCTCTGTCTCTCCCAGCGCGGGGGGATAGATGCACAAGCTGCTCTCTGCTGTCTCCGGCATTTTCGCGCCTTGATCGGAGCGGGATTTAAAACTGCAGGCAGAGCATTAAAGGGTCAAGCCCGCCCCCATGGGCGCCCAGCTCTGCGGTTGCTTGCTAGGGCAATCTAAACTTTGTGGAGGGATGTCAGACCGTCTCTCGATGGAGAAGAAATAGTGGGTAAGCTCCTCGTCTGCCAATCTTCTTTTTAAGGAAGAAAGCAGAAACCTTGGACTTGGTGTGGATTGAGGGGGGAGAGGTGAGGTGTTCTAAGAGCTTGTGTTAGGTGATTGAGACGGGGGGTGCGGTGCGATGGAAAGGGGTTGTAGAGTCCTTCTCTTTCCTCTACCCCTTGACATTCTTCCTAATACCTGTTGGGAGGAAAGGCAGTTATAACTCATTGGCAGGGGGGAAAGTGGAGAAGAGTGAAGGGGTGGAGTGGGGGGCAGGGGCAGGAATATAAACTCAGAGCCAGCTCTCTCATCAGCTCTGCCACTTTTGGGGGATAGCGATGCTCTTAGTAAGACAAGCTAGATCCATCCAAGTTCAGGTATTAAGTCAAGGAAGCTCGAGGGGAAAAGAGAAAGAGAAGAAAGGATCACCCCCAAATAGGTTCACTCGGAAATGGCAGAAGCAGCTCGATGCAGGAAGTAGACAGACTGCGAGCAGTGCTGAAAGCAGATCTTAATGAGCTGGCTCTTTCAACCTTATGGCTGGGGATATCCCCAATTATTCCTCCCCCACCCGTCCAGGTGCCCTTCTGCTCTTTCTTCTCCCTCTCTGTTTCTCTACTGAAGTCCATCTACATATTTTTCGATTTAAAAACAATGGTGCTAATCCTGGAGAGATAGCGTGCAGCATGCAAGCCACAGAGCAAATGTAGCTGCAGCTCCGTTGAGACAGAGAGAGGTCCGTGAAGAGAACTAGGAATGCAGTGGAGGCCAGGTGGAGCAAAGTACTAAAGCTGTGCGTAGAACATTATCTGCATTTGAGGTGAGGGGCAGTGAAAGGTCCTAGAGACTCTCAAACGCTGTTTTTAAAGCAATCTAATTGTAATGAGGATGCCAGTTTCCCTGCTGTTTTCCCTAGGATCCCTGTGGTCTTTGGGGGAAAAAAGAGGGGCTGAAAAGCTCTTTTGTGACAATGAGTTTGGTTGTAGTGCTACTTCATTTGAACTGAAGAGACTAATGGCAGAGAAGGCAGAAAGTATCCATTCCTTTGCTTCACTCAGAGAAAAAGACACCACCCCCCTTTTCCCCTCAGCCTCTCATTTCATTGTTTGAATGACCAGAATCTGGGCTGGAGCCCATCTCCCTTAACCAGATTCAAGCACCCCAAGAAGGCACTGTGATGTGACCAGAGTATCTCTCCAGGCACAAAAAGGATCTTTACAGAGTCGTCCTAGCTAGCACCACATAGTAGTATATTTTTCAGATCTTTGAAATACAGCACTTTACCTTCTCCTTCAATGCCCATTTTATGTCATTCTGTAGATACCCTCCTGGACAGTTTGGATGGGATCCAGGATAGACAAATCATAACCATTTTGACAGCCAAACTACCTTTCCTCCCCAAAATACTTGGTGAAAGAAACTTCAATATATCCTCTTTTCTTTTAATTTGCTTCTCTTCTATTATCTTCCATTCACTTCTCATTTCTTCTCTCCTCTATTCTCCTCCTCCTCCTCCTCCTCTCTCTCTCTCTCTCTCTCTCTCTCTCTCTCTCTCTCTCTCTCACACACACACACACACACACACACACACACACACACACATACACACACATGAAGCTTTCTTTTGTGAGGGGAATCCCCCCCCCTTCACTTTCCAAAGATCCGTAGACTTTTAAATTTAGGTATGTCTGTTTTCGTATGAACAGAAGAGTGTTTGAAAAGGAAGGATCCATACTTTGGGTTTCTGTCATTAGTTCTCTAATTTGGTGCTGGAGTCTTATGCTAAACCACTGCTTTATACGCCGGTAGGCTATTCAGCACATCGGATAGCTCCCTGGGTGACCCTCTTACCAAGGAGAGTTCTAACTGGGAAAAGACTCCTTTCTTACTGCTTCTGGTAAAATACAAAAAGAGCAGCGATTCCAAAATGAATATAAAATCCTTCCTAGAAATTTCCACTCAAGATTTCAATATACTTGGTCTAGTAGGGGACCTCCTTTCAGAAATCAGTTGTCTTGCAATATTTTAGCAGCGATGATTCAGTAACCTCAAGTGATACAGATCATTTTCACCTTGTGATATTTAATTAATGCAAACCAAATTATGATTTGTTTTTTGGTATGGGATATATATCAATCTTTGCTTCAGTCTTCTCACTTTTCATGTTAGATATTACCTTTGTTTCCCCCTTTCACTGAAGACTTGGGCTGTTTGTGTTACGCTAAATATCAAGGCATAAACTGAAAAATTGAAACACAAAATTGAGGCCTTCTGACAAATGTGAATATTATGTCTACAGAACAAGAAGTATTTAAATTGTTGAGTCAATTTTTGAGTTTTCAGTCAGAAGCTTATTGTAGCAGTCATAGTTACAAATATGATAAAGACAAAAAAAAATCACAGTAAAATAATATTTGTTTCTTCCATATCTAAAAGGTTTGAATGGTATTAGGCTTTTTACACTATTTTATCTTTCCAGAAAGGCATGGAGGTTTTATAAGAGTATCACTTGACTTTCGCTGGTGAACATTCCAAGCATTTGGTGCAGGATAAACTGAGTGGAAATGAAATAGTAGTTGATTGCTGTGGAAAGCCAATATCAGATAAATCCAGTTAGGGGGAATAGTTTATTTTTGCTGTCATTTTCTGCTGTGTCTGGTATATTCATGGGTATAAAATATGGATCTTAATAATCAGTATTTAAGAAACATTCAGAAATGTTTTGGTTCACTCTAATATTACCCAAGTTGTATGTATATACTTTTATGCTTGATGATGACACATCTTCAAATTAACATAAATTGAATTTGCAAGATGTGCTAACTATCTTCTGTATTTTAAATGTTTGGTATCCTTTGATCTATCTAGAGTAAGCCCTATAACTAATATAATGGCTAATTCCATTTGTTACACTATTTGTTATGCTAAAGACTCTTGCTCAACACCAAAATATGTTTACAGCCTTTTGTAAATAACATGGTGTAGTGGAAAGAACACTGGTCTTGTAATGGGAGACAGGTATTGCATTTGAATATAACTGTGGTCCAGCCACTTAATCACTCCAAGGCTTAGTTTACTCATCTACAAAATGAGGGCAATAATTCTTGCACTTCCTATGACATGGGATTGTTTCAGGAAAAAGAAATCATTTTGCAAACCTTCAAAACATATAGAAATATGAACTCTTTTTAATATTATGACCTGAAATCTAGGCACTATGGTCAAGAATTTAAATTCCTGTAATAAGCAACATGTGATGCCTCAGTCAAACACAAAGGGCACAAATCAATTTAGTAAACACCTATTAAGTATCTTTTATTTAAGGTACTGTGCTAGGCACTAGATAAAAATAAAACAGACTATGCCCTTGGGGGGCTTAAATTCTACTGAGCTTATTGGGTCTAAAAAAAAACATTTTCCCCTTTGGTAAGCAATTATTAGATGCCTTCAGATGTGAAGGACAACATGTTTGATTTCATTTACTAATAATTTTAACAGTGTTTATATGTATACAAACACTAGCAAACAGGTCATAAAATGAAAATAATTGAATTATTTAGCTCTTTACGTGCATCATTTCATTTGATCCTGATAAGGGCCCTACAAGGTAGCTAGTGAAAGAATTATGGTACCCATTTTACAAACAAGAAAACTGAGGCTCAGATAAATTAAATAATATACACCAATGGATACAGATAATTTTTGAACAATGATGTGACTTGAACCCAAGATTCCTAATGCCGATTATCATTTTCATCCCACTGCACCACAGGTGTCTTATCAAACTATCAAATTACTTGTATATATAACCTTATATTAAAGTAAAGTTATCTGGAAAATTAAAAAAAAATAATACTTAGTTACAATTAAATACAGGTTTTATGCAGAGTCAACACTATTTATATTATAGAGATTGAATATTGAAGAGAAATTAACTAATGATAAATGATTCTTTCACTTTTCTACCCACAGAGTTTAAAAAAAATACACTTCCTAGGTCATTATGTGCTGCTGGCTATAAATATCAAAACATAAGTATTATGAGAAAACCCTGAAAACCTCATCATTGTAATGGCACAAGTGGCCACTGTAATAATAACATAACCTATTAGCATTCATAATATTTTGTAGAATAATTTAAAAAAATTTAATTTTAACTTCCTTTAATAAATACAAATGTAGTAAATCTCCTTAAAGTCCTCAAAGAAAGGCAAATAATATTTATAACTCTTTTGATTTTAATTCCGCAATTTCAAGATTTGCATTGATTTTGATTAACTAGTATTTAATGGTTATTGAAAATCATTCCATTTTGTAGAATTCTCATGTTTCAGTTATGGTCATACTTTAATGATATATTTAAACTATGTTAACATGAGCAATGTATCAAAAGGCATCATTTTTGCTCTTATTTATGGTTCTTTTGGGATATTTGGAAACATCTCTTGGATCAGAAACTCTTCTATTAATTATCTTAAATTTGAACCCCTTAAATCAAAATATAATATATTTGAAAGATGACTGATAAAATAATGAACCCAAGGTTATTCTTGCAAATTATTGCCTGAATATTTCAAGAAAATCTCAACACATATAATCATGATGATATTGGTTTTTGGAAAGAATATTGTTTGAATTAAATTCATTGGATTATTGCTCCACAGAGCTGGTGAATCATGAATTGCCCAATACAGTAAGATTTCATTTGATGTTGATAAGAGCCAGAAACCAGGGAAAACACCATCAAAAGGGAAGGAGTCATATAAAGAGCTATAAGGGATTATAAAGAGAAAAAGAAATAATAAATGCACACTAACATATGCAGATGTGTATACATATTAATGATTCCTTCTGTTTTTACACAATAATAATTGCTTAGTTACTCAACTCCACTCCCATGGAACCTTCCTATATAATACAGAAAAACTTTAGAAAAGTACCTTATATGCTAATCATAGCTGTCAATGTATGGAAGATTCTACTTCCATAGTCCCTCTTCTCTTTCCT